GCAGTTTCTCACATGGAATAGCCTTCATTTCTAAGAACAAGAATAGACTGTCAAGTTTCACATGAAAGTTCTCTTTTTCTGGCCATTTTGAGCGTTTAATCAACCCCACAAATGTGATGCTCCAGATACTCAACCTGCTCAAAGGAAGGTCAGTTTTATAGCTTTTCTAACCAGCTAAACAGTTTTCAGCTGTCCTAACATGATTGCACAATGGTTTTCTAATCATCCATTAGCCTTCTGACACAATGCGCAAACACATTGTACCATTAGAACACTGGAGTGACAGTTGCTTGAAAAGGGCTTCTATACACCTATGTAGATATTGCACCAAAAACCAGACATTTAGCAATATATAGAGTGTATTTCTGATTAGTTTAAAGTCATCTTCATTGAAAAAACAGTGCTTTTCTTTCAAAAATAAGGAAATTACTAAGTGACCCCAAACTTTTGAACGGTAGTGTACATCATAAAACATTGGAGATAGGTGCAGTATCTCTCAGACCTGTTTTGGAAGAGATTGACAAGAGAGTATTTATCTCTGCTGCAAGAGAGACAAAGGTGGTCCAAGCTTTGGAAAAATTTTACAGCTGGCGACATCGTCGTTGTCATTGATCACACTGCCCCTCGTGGCTCCTGGATTTTGGGAAGAGTCATGAGAACTTACCCAGATAATAAGGGATGTGCCAGCCATGTGGCTAAAAACTAAGAATGGACAGTTGGAGAGGCCCATATCTAAAATCTTCCTTCTCCAAGAAGCGTTAGGCTGGGGTTAATTTGAGTCACAGTTTATGTCTGGGCACAGGGTGACCTATATTTGGCTTGGCCACAAGGGGGCAGGGTGGAATCAAGCCCTATATGAACGCACAGGTGCCAGTGCACTGGGTGTATTGGTGACAGGAGGTCACACAGTTTTTACTGCTCTCTTTATGGACGTGGTCTAGATTTCACTATTCAACTCATTAATATTAGTGAACATCTACATCCATACAACATCCGATTCACCCCCTCCACTCCTTTCTGTTCTATAATGTAATGTACCACAACCTGGATTCTGAAGCTTGTTAGGTCTGGATCCCCTACACCCAGAAACGATAAAAGGTTAGGACTAAAATTGTCACTACAAGAAACAAAGACACATCCACTCCAGCATCCTCCCATCACAAGCACACAGGTTTTCAGTATCTGCAGACAATCAGCAAAGAGAAACATGTGACAGTCACACGCACACACGCGTGTCACCGTCACACACGTGTGTCACCGTCACACACGCGTGTCACCGTCACACACACACGTGTGTCTCTGTCACTGCTGCAGAGAAAACACAATATTCAACTTTCTGTCAAATGGATTTTTCAGAGCTTCTAATCGTGCTGTAGTTGTTTCCTTCTCATTTATTCACTCAAAGATGAATTTGGACTGATTCAACCTGAGAATTTAGGACAAGACTTTTACCTGAACAGTTCACCTCCAGAGCCCGGGGAGAGGAGAATGAATGAAAGACACATTCTCTCACTGAAGACTCCTTCACACAGTCAGGTCTGACCATCCACACAGGACTCTGTGGAAAATCATCTCTCTCTTCTCCATAAACAGCAGAGCCACAGTCCAGGTCTCTGCACACACCAGCTGTGTCCTCCAGGTCCCAGAGTCCATAGGGCCCCACTCGTCTCCACTCTCCTCTGTGTTTCACCTCCACAGTTCCAGCACAGCGACTGGCTCCTCCCACCAACCTGAGCGGCTCTGAACAGACAAGAGACAGAGTGAAGCCCCGCCCCTTTACCTGAGCACTGAAGCCCCGCCCCTTTACCTGAGCAGTGAAGCCCCGCCCCTTTACCTGAGTCTTTTCTGAGTAACTTTCTACTGAATCAGCAAAGACAGTGAAGTGGTGTAAATGTGTTTGTGACGTTTGAGCGGCGGCTCTCAGGAACGCTCTGATATCTGGAAGTGTTTATCCTGTGTCCTCCCTCTCACCAGGAGGTTGTGGGTTAGACTCCTGATGTCTGTGAGTGGAGTGTGCATGTGCTCCCCGTGTTACTGTGGCAGAGTGGTTAGCCTGGTGTGTGAGTGTCTTTACCTGAGCTCTCGTCTTCTGTCAGGACCCCTGCACACACAAGAGACCAAAAGCACTTTGACAAATAAATGTGAAACATGAGACAGAAACCAAACCATAAACTGTGTTGGAGCAGTGTGTTCTACCACAGCTCCATCAGCTCCTTCAGCCTGGTCTGTGTCAGTGTCCAGAGTCTGAACAAGGACCAGCCCACATGGACTCAAGGTCTGACCACACTTTAGTCCTGATTTAGTCCTACTTTAGTCCTGGTTCGGTCCAATCTTGTTTTTTTTTTTGCTTTCTGTAGAAACATTGTGTATGTGTGATACAGAGGAGTGCGCGTTTGTGTGTGTGTGTGAAAAACAAAAACATCTTAGAGACATAAAAATGTAAGATCAGATTTTTACCTGAACAAATCACCTCCAGACCCCAGGAAGAGGAGGATGAACCAGTGACACATTCTCTCACTGAAGACTTCTTCACACAGTAAGATGAGACCCACCAAACAGGACTCTCTGGAAAATCATCTCTCTCTTCTTCATAAACAGCAGAGCCACAGTCCAGGTCTCTGCACACACCAGCTGTGTCCTCCAGGTCCCAGAGTCCATAGGACCCCACTCGTCTCCACTCTCCTCTGTGTTTCACCTCCACAGTCCCAGAACAGCGACTTGCACCTCCCACCAACCTGAGTGGCTCTGAACAGACAAGAGACAGAGTGAAGCCCCGCCCCTTTACCTGAGCAGTGAAGCCCCGCCCCTTTACCTGAGCAGTGAAGCCCCGCCCCTTTACCTGAGCAGTGAAGCCCCGTCCCTTTACCTGAGCAAGTGAGGTGGACAGTGGCTCCAGAGGAGCAGGTGCTTGAGTTGGAGCGGGGACAGTCCATCAGAGCAGACTCATGTCCCTCACAGTGGAACGTCTGCCCCAGAGGAGAGAGCGCCCCCTGGAGGAGAGAAGGAGCCCCACAGTCCAGCTCCCTGCACAGCACCTCTGCCCCCCGCTGGTCCAAGTCCCCGTCACAGACCCCGGTCCAGGACCCGTCCCAGATCTGCACTGATCCTGAACACAGACCGGACCCCGAGACCAACCGCACCGAGTCTGTGGACACACATGTGTGACATCATCACTCTGAACCAATAGGACGCACACACACATGTGACATCATCACTATGAACCAATAGGACGCACACATGTGACATCATCACTCTGAACCAATAGGACGCACACATGTGTGACATCATCACTCTGAACCAATAGGACGCACACACATGTGTGACATCATCACTCTGAACGAATAGGACACACACATGTGTGACATCATCACTCTGAACCAATAGGACGCACACATGTGTGACATCATCACTCTGAACCAATAGGACGCACACACGTGTGACATCATCACTCTGAACCAATAGGACGCACACACATGTGTGACATCATCACTCTGAACCAATAGGACGCACACATGTGTGACATCATCACTCTAAACCAATAGGACGCACACACATGTGTGACATCATCACTCTGAACCAATAGGACGCACACATGTGTGATGTAACCCAGGTGACAAATCCTGCAAAACGTTTGTCTCTCTCTTTCTGCATCTGTGCCTATCTCTCCTATCTCCTACTATTGCACTTAAATCTCACCACTATTTTGGTGTGTTCTCGCAGGATCTTTGAGTCACAAGATCATGTGGATCCGCTAAACCAATCGTTGTTACGCTCTTGGTGACATCACAGTATCAGATCTACAACACTCAAGAAAAATAGTCGAAAGCCTCCTTCCACCAGCAGCAGATATGGTGAAACATTTAAAGCCAGAAACACCACCAAAAACCTACCTCCAGATCCTCGACTCTGCTTACGGAACCATCCAAGATGGTGATGAACTGTATGCTAAATTCATGGAAATGTTTCAAGATGCTGGTGAGAAGCCCTCTGTGTACTTGCAACACCTGCAAGTTGCGCTCAACTTAACTTTGAAGAGAGGAGGGGTCTTAGCCACAGATTTAGATCGTCATCTCCTAAATCAGTTTTGTCACGGCTGCTGGGACAACACACTCATATCAGAACTCCAACTAAAACAACGCAAATCCCACCCACCATCTTTTGCTGAGTTCCTGCTGTTACTCCGAACCGAAGAAGATAGAGAGGCCGCCAAGACCCAACATATGAAGCAGCACCTCGGCTCAAAATCCAGAGCCGGGGCGCGCACACACAATACGCTTATGCCACCTCTGAAGAATCAAAAGTCGATGCACTGACTACCATCAGAGCAGCTCGCCCAACAGCTAGTTGACATACAGAAGCAATTGGTGTCCCTCACTGCTGCCCAGTCCGGCCAGAAGCAGCCTTCTCCGTCCAAACCCACTCATGTCAGCAAACTCGGTGAAAGCCTGAAATCTAGCAAACAATAACGTTCCTCCCACAAACCTCCAACTGCAGGTCCAAAGCCAGGCTACTGTTACAACTGTGGTGAAGATGGACACATAAAGACTCATTGTGACAATAATCCCAATCATAGACTTGTAGCCATGAAAAAGAAGCAGTTTATGGAGAAACAGAAGAAATGGCAGCGATCCAACCCGCAACACGGCTCGTCTTTAAACTAGCTCGAGTTCCTGTTGAGGGACAAACAGGAACTGCTGAGGACCCACAACGTCCCACAAAGCAGCCAGCAGTAAAATGTAACACCAAGTCACATGCCACTTGCCACTTCCACAGAAACCACCCATATACCCAGAGGTTTAATTGGGTCCAGATGCCCAGGCCAAGTCACCATTTCCAGTCAAGATTTTGAGTGCTTGCTTGACACCGGATCTCAAGTAACCACTGTATCCATTTCTGTCTACAATCAACATTTTTCACATCAACCTGTTAAGCCACTGTGTGAGTTGTTACAAGTAGAAGGAGCTGCCGGACAAGAAGTCCCATATCTGGGGTATATTGAGATGACAATCACCTTCCCAAAAGAGTTCATTGGTGCGGACATGGACGTATGTACCTTGGCGCTGGTGGTCCCAGATGTCAAACCAGGATTCTATTCCCCAGTCCTGATTGGGATGACCACCCTGGAGCCTTTATATGAACAGCGCCTGGAGAGTGAATGTGCCAGCTACAAACCATCTCAGCACGGCTATCGAGCAGTCGTACAATTACTCCAGCTGCGGCACCAGTAGACCCAAAGAGCAGCAACTGTGTTGTGCGATTGGCCAGTAAATCTGTGGTCCAAATTCCAGCAGGCCACACCCTGGTTTTGAAAGCTCCATCCATGCCAGTCCACCACCCGTTGGCAAGTATGCTTTAATTGAAAGCCAGCCATGCCACTGCCTGGAGCCCTTTGTGTAAAAAGCTCCCTAATAACACTGCCCAGCTACTCTCCACACAAGGTCCCAATCTTCATCACCAATTAATCGAAACAGACCATCACACTCCAGCCATTGAGTATCATTGCCGAACTTACTATGTTGCCTCAGATCCTATCACACTCCATTCCCAATAATACACAACCAAAAGAAGTCAAGTTAGAGTTTGACTTTGGAGAGTCTCCAATCCCTCCAGAGTGGAAAGCCAGAATTATCTCCAAGCTTGAACAGATCCCTGAAGTTTTCTCCCACCATGACCTGGATTTTGGACGCACCGACTGTGTCAGACACCACATCCGCCTCCATGACGAGACTCCCTTCAAACACAGAGCTCGTCCCGTCCACCCTCGCAACATCGAGGCAGTCCGTGACCATCTGTGGGACCTGTTGGAGGCAGGAGTGATACGAGAGTCAAAGTCCCCGTTTTCATCATCAGTCGTGGTAGTTCGAAAAAAGAACGGAGACATGAGGCTGTGTATCAACTACCGGAAGCTCAACCTCCACACCATCAAGGATGCTTACGAACTCCCAAATCTGGAAGAGTCGTTCTCAGCTCTCACTGGTTCACGTTGGTTCAGCGTCCTCGATCTGAAATCAGGATACTACCAAATCGAAATGGCAGAGGCTGACAAACCGAAGACTGCATCCGTAACCCCACTGGGCTTTTGGGAATTCAACCGGATGCCACAAGGCATAACCAACGCACCAAGCATGTTTTTTTGCCACTGGCGCCCCACTGTGGCACCTGGAATTCCTAGCGGTCTCCCATCCAAGTACTACCCAGGCCCTGCCTGCTTAGTTATTAGTAATTTGGGTTACTATTTTTGTCTGGGCACAGAGTGACCTATATTTGGCTTGGCCACAAGGGGGCAGGGTGGAGTCAAGCCCTATATGAACGCACAGGTGCCATTGTACTAGGTGTATGGGTGACAGGAGGTTTTTAGCACTCTCTTTCTGGCTGGTAGTCTAGCTTTCACTATTCACCTCGTTAACATTATTGAGCATCTACCCACCCCCTCCACTCCTTTCTGTTCTATAATGTAATGTACCACAACCTGGATTCTGAAGCTTGTTAGGTCTGGATCCCCTACACCCAGAAACGATAAAAGGTTAGGACTAAAATTGTCACTACAAGAAACAAAGACACATCCACTCCAGCTTCCTCCCATCACAAGCACACAGGTTTTCAGTATCTGCAGACAATCAGCAAAGAGAAACATGTGACAGTCACACGCACACACGCGTGTCACCATCACACACACGTGTGTCTCTGTCACTGCTGCAGAGAAAACACAATATTCAACTTTCTGTCAAATGGATTTTTCAGAGCTTCTAATCGTGCTGTAGTTGTTTCCTTC